AATTACAGCTTTGGGGCCCATTTTAGTCCCCGTCTATGTATGGTTAACCTAATCAAGTGTATCGTTATAGCTAATCTGTCTTCCATTTTCTTTTTTATCCAAAATACCGAAAATCACGATAGTTGTATCCTAGGCCTTCTGACAACTTGAAAGATTCATAAAACCATCTTTGTTGATAGCTATCAAATAATCCTCGATTTAGCCACTTTACTCATAAACTCGATTTCATGGATTTAAACCATAAGCTACCAAGGACATTGGATTTAAACATCTTTTCTTCGGAACCTATCAAGCACTGTTTTTGGAGAATCCTTCGCCTTCACTGTTTCTTTCACCAAAAATTCCTCTTCTAACTTTTTCCGTGCTTCGTTCATCGCAAATCTTTGCTCGGATTGCACACCCTGTTTGACCTGCTCCTATAAAAGTTTATAAATTCTTTAACAGCATACCAAGGATAGGCTACTTTTCCCTACTAGGTATAAGAAATATCAAGACATGACCAGGTGATTAGCACCCAAATTTCTTTACCTTTCTCAGAGCACTGCCTCGTCCTTTCTTCTTATTCTTCGGCTTAAATCTCACTTCACGTGGTTTTGTATGGAGCAACAACTTTAACCGTTCATTCTCTTTCTCAAGCAAATCCGTATTAACTTGAACGATTTCTGTAGTGTCTAAAGTGATCAGTTCTGGCTGGATCTAAAAGAAAATTTCAGGACATCATAATTGAATTCAATTAATTCATAACTGGATTTATTCGTATTCACATCACTGAAATTACCGAAGCCATAAAGTACCTTATCCAAAAGCTGCCTAACTTCTCGCTCACGGCGCTGAGTTTTTGATTCATAAGGATTTGTCAAAAGTGCATTGAAGTTTGGTTCTCCGCTTCCTGCAAGTGGAAACGTAGACGAAATTACCAATATAACTGAAAAATACTTTTTCAAATTTTCATTTTTTTAAATGTTTAAGACAGAAATAATTACCTGGCACAAGTAAACTAGTGAATCCATGTTGGTGTCCGACTCCAAGAACATCTTCATATGGACAAAACTGTAGACTGCTAACTATTCCAGTGCACTGATGTGACATGTAAGGTGCAGTAGCTGTGCCCAAATGCGCATCATTTAAGATCTATCGAAAAACTTGACTTTAAAAGAAACGATATGGAGGGATAGAGGTACCTTTACTTCGCAGTTAGTTAAATCTGACGCTCCTTAATATATAAAATCGAAAAATTACCTGAATCTGATTCCCAACGCTGCAAGCAACTGCATTGCGCTGACTGAAACATACTTCTGCCAACCCAAATGGTAACGTATAAGCATATAACTGTTTGTAGTTACGTACATCCCATATCCTATAAGCTGAGGTTTTCAAATATTAGATTATAATTTCTAATGAATCCAACCATTGAAAATTCAAACTAAAGGCTCATAATAGGAAGAACGAAATTACCTTAGCTTCTGATCAAGACCAGTAGTAGCCATGTAATTATTTTCCACAGCTATGCCTCGTACCGAACATGGATGGGCGAGCATTTTTACCAGCGGTTCTTTGACATTCGGAGACCACAACTGCACTGTTCCTGAATACAGCAACCATCATGATTGGAATTACCAATGACAATAAGATTATTCAGTGTGATGTGGCATGTATACAACATCTTTATTACATAAAAACTTATAAAGTCAATTTATACATTTCACTAACCATTTCCATGTCCAGTATGAATGATAGCGTTGTTTGGATTCTGAGTCATTACATCTAGAGGTCCCTGTTTTGTCGGAAAGGACTGCACCATTTTGCCCATCGAAACATCCAAATAGTGCAAAAATGACATATTGCTCTAAAAGTACTGACTACATGTATGCACTGTGCGCCTATGAGCCATTATTTTCTTCGGCCAATAAATAATTTCTTCCGAACATGATTCTTTAAAATATTTCCGGTTGTTAATCTTATATTACGGAATAGATCATTGCAGTTATAGCTTGTCACTTAACTTCGATAGTAAAATTTCTAAATTACTGATAAACTACCCCAGCAACAAGAAGGAAATGTCTCGGGAGAAATTCCAAACGTTTGATATCATGCAAAATTTTCAAACAGTGCAACTCTACACCCGTACTGTCATAAATATGTGTCCATCTCTTTTGAGCAACCGCAAACATTGTTTCAACATGCAGCCATCTGAAACCAAACTTAAAATCTTGCATGCTAAGAAATTTTAGCAGAATTAACCACAATACCTCCCAGCATGTTTTGTTTTTTAAATTATGGGGAAACTTTCTGCATATGCCAAAGAATTTTGAAAGCCTCTACAGCATAACTGTCTTCTGTTCACTTCGTGTATTTCCTACTTTTGTCGAAACACCATACTTGACATACTTCTCAAAATTGCTTACTTGGCATCTCGGACGCCCTCCATGACATTTATTTCACAACGGAGGGTTTTAGTCAGCCAATCAAAGGCGGCGACATGTCCGCGTTTACCAGCAATTAACAGATGACGACCATTACGTGTGTAATTCGTACGATATGGACCAAAACGTTTTAACCGTAAATCAAAATGCTGCAAATTAACAACTAATTTCAGGACCCACCGTTAATTTTGCGAAATCCTTCAATCCCAACATCGAAAACTCCAGAAAATATTCAATTGGATAGTGATTTACTTCATACTCAAAAAAAGCAGAAATGAAAATGAATAATAAATTCACCTTGCTAGCACTTGCAATATCCACAGCATCGCATATATCTTTTTGCTTGATCGTATAAGTAAGTTCTCCTTCATCACCGGCAAGAAAACTGCAAAAGAACGTGATCAGCTGACTAATCATTTATGAAGATCATAGCGTGCAAATCGAATGTAAGATTTAAGAGACGAAATCACTTACCCTTCATGTTCATTGTTGAGAATCTCCGCTCGTGCGGTTTCCCTAGTTCTTTCTAGGAATCTTTTCCTTTTGGTTTCAAGCTTTGCTCTATGAAAACCCGTTTTTACATTTTCCTGCAAATTGATCGAACCTGTTAAATAAAACTTCAGCATAAGTGCGTACGTTAGGACCGTGTATAAGTTTCATGTAACTTAGGATCATTCGAAATTTCCTGACTGAACATATGTTTTAAAATGGGTTCAAGCCAACCACTTATATTCCTGAAGCAACTGTAAGGAACGCTAGTGGTGCAGAACTATGTTTGACAATCATGAAAGCAGTTCATCATCATTCATGACAAAGACAGTTACCGGATTAATATTTGCAGCACCGGTATCATGCCTTTCCAAGGCGTTTTGTGGTATGAAAAGGTCACGATCGCCACTGGATTTCTTCCGGTGTTCCTCATATACAAAGTTTTCCTTCCTGAAAGGTGTTTTTGCAAAGGTTTCAATCCGTCAATCTCTTCAGGAACCCTTTAGAAAGCATTATATTGAGTATTAATTGATTATTATCATCTGCAAGCATTTCCTGATTGTAAATCTATAAGGAATTATGGTATAATTTATCATTCCATTACTGGTTTTCAAATAAGTCATTAATTAAAGTTATA